TACTATAAGTCTGTACTGCTATGCAACTGATACATATAAATTACTACATACCAGTCTATATAAGTGGTTCTCAACTTCCACATTATGGCTTCCTTGTAAATAAGACACATATTTTGCAGATGTATAATTTTTGCATGTTAACCCACTGCTGCCAGGATATTCATACATGCCATATTTTATTAACCTTACTAGTTTTTACCTGTCTCACCTGTTTATCATCATTTCTTTTTTCTTTTTTTGGGAAAAAGTGCTATAAGTATTGTAAATACAATTGTAATCTTAATGTCAATAACAACAATAATAATATTAATAGCATTAGAAGAAAACATTTTTCTGAACACTTAGGCAAGATGAAATCAAGTTAGGTTACTAGGTAGACTAAATAATTCTTTGGTGCTTGAGCATGTGTGGAGCCATCTACATTGTACTTTACTTGTTCACAGCAGCAAAGAGTCAATTTACTCTTATCTTTAGTCTGAAACACTGAAAAAATGTAGAGTTTCTAGCTGAAAATAAGGCTAATTAGATGAAAATATAATTTAATAGTGAAAATAAAGATGATAATAATAGTAATAAACTTCCCTCCCCTATCATAGTTGGTGATCCCTGTTCAGTTTCATATTGATTATGTAAGTATATTTAAACAGTAGTTTATACATTTTCAAGAGAATGTAAAAACTATATATGCAAAATACATTTGTATAAATACATTACTGTAATAAAATGGTGAGCCACAGAAGTCTGGGAATTATTTCTAGTATGCCACCAGGCTGTAAAGGCTGAGAACCACTGGTCTACATTACTGAATCCAGCCTTATAACTAGCAGGAATCTTTTGCCCTCTACTATGTCAATTTATTACTTTCACACTATACTATATACATATTTATCATTGTTTTTATTGATAACTTGTGTATATATAACTATTACTACTAGGAAATCCATTATTAGTAATGCCATACATGTAAAACTACAGGTTAATTCTCATTGGTCAAGACAGGTGCTGGAATGGCATTTTTTTTCTCTTTAATAATGAAGCACAGAGTAAATTATTATCAGTATTTTTAGTAGTACCAGAAATATTAGTTGCAATAGCACAGTACCCTCACCTTTGTGACTGCAACATGCAACTAACTTCCTTTGCAAGCTCCAAGGGAAAATACTGATATCATGGTTGAATATTAGATATTTTTTATGTGAATTGGAAAGCTCCACAAAAGTTATATCATTAATCCAATAAATGCTAGGATGGCAAAAATACATCCTTGTCTATGGTGATTTTATTTCATTAACTGTATGCATGGATGACTCCAAAGTGTTTAGTCACAAAGAAGTCTATGACTAATACTACTTACCTCCCCTATTTACCCTTTTCCTTGATTCTCAGAAAATATCTTTTATTGCTATTAGTATTGTTCATAATGCTAAAATAATCATGATTGTTAATTACAAACAAAATCAATATTAATAGCATTAGAAAACATTTTTCCTGAGCATTTAAGAGGTAATCAAGAGAGGTCACATTGGCACTAATTGACTCCTAGATGGTTGAGCACTTGTGCACCTATCTACTGTAAATGCAGACAATATCACAAAATAAAACTACTATAGACAGTACATATGCCCTGCAGTAATGGGTTATATGCTGTAATGCTTCTTCAGGGTATATACACAAGAGATGCAGTTTGATTTTATATATATATATATATATATATATATATATATAATTTAGTTGAAAAACTAGTAATAAGCTATTCTAGCATGGTTGAACCTATCTAGCATGGCCGTTAAAATTGTAACATGCATGCCTGCTCACAGCAAGAAAGCATACCTTCTGAGCAAGATAATGAAATGGTAATAGAAAAATGGTTATATCACGGGCAATCACAATTAATTTTCCAAATATGACTACTGACAAACTGAACAACCTCTCAGAAAATTCTACATGTAATATAAACATACATCACTTCAATAAGTTATATGATAATCTAAATGTAACAGAAGGTTCCCCCTGAACAACTACATAAGAACAACAAAATTACATAAGAACACACAACAACAGCAATAGCAGGGATGATACAGATATATGTTGTTTCTGGTGGTGGCTAGTTGTTTGTATTTGGAAGAACAAACATTAATACATAAATGGGGTGAGAAAACAAAAATTAATAATAAATAATAAATATAAACAAAAAACACTGCCTTGACCTATTGGTTCTATAGTTCATGATGTCCGTCTGCCAGGATAAGTCTAGGTCCAAACCAGCTGGCACCAGAGAGCCAAGCTCCTGAACACTGGACAAAATACTCTGGCTCCTTAGTCCACTGAGCCATTGAGCAAACACAAAGCAATAAGAAATGTTTTGGAGTTTTGCATGAAGAAGGCACTGGAGTTGGAAGTAGAGGAAGAGAACAAAGAGAAAAGGGAGAAGTGGAAAGGGAAGTGAAAATGGTAGGAAGGTGGAAGTGGTAGGGGAAGAATAGGGGAAGGGGAAGGGAATATTGCTAATGTAAATCAGCCTACATGAAATGTTATGCCAAGAGATTTATAAACATAAGATAAAATCAGCTACTATAAGAATCTTTACCCGTTTTAATTTGAAACTCTGACTTAAAATTGCCAGGTAGAAACTAATGAGCCTCCAAAGGTATATCTGTTGGTGGTTTCGTTGTTATGATTGTGATTGCAGTAATGTTGGCAGTGATATTACCTATGTCATCCAATTCTTGCTTTCCTATACTACTTTTGTGCAAACATAAGGTGGTCATTATGGTGGAGGGAGACATGGTTATGGTAGCAATGGTTTCTGGAGTGATGTTGGTGGAAAAGGCAGTGGCATTGGTTGGAAATAGAGTTGTTATATTATTTTACTACAACACCTATATGCTATGGTGTCACATGAGTCTTACTCCCCTTTAAAAAACTGAAGATTATTTGTTGTAAATGTTTGTGATATTTCTCATTTCCCATTACCACTTAAAGTTCATTTCACAAAGTAATTAGTACCACTACTGCAACAGTGAGGTCCCCAGTTTAGTATTTCTGGGTTCAGTAATTTCCATTTCAAATTATATTATAGAAACAGTACAGTGCTAGCTACCAATTCAGCAAGAAAAGATTCAATATTAGCAAACCAAGAAGAACCAGAGCAAGAGGTATCTAAGGAAACAAAGCCATCATCTACAATTTTTCCCTATTTTATCACTGTTGGTTAAGTACAAGGAAACAATAAAGGATAACATATCTGACACCCATCAGGAGGAAACAGAACGAAGAACATGAGGTTATGATGGCTGACGGCTGAAAAATAAATCCAAGGTCATATAGAACCATGGTAAAGTATTGTGGCAAAAAGGGTAAAAATTAGTTAACAATTAGGATAAAGAGTTAAATGTAAAAGATTATAGAGTGTTATAAGAGAGGGAAAAGAGTAAAGAGGAGGTGCAAATAAATCAGATATTAGTAAAAGAAAGGGTTAAGACATAGGGCCACTGGATGAAATGGAGTGTATCTTTTGCTGGGGAAACAATGTTTAAGGAAAACTGGTAAAAGAGATGCTGTAGAAGTAGGAGAAAAATGTGGGGGATGAGATAAGGGGACTGGTGAAGGAGGTGAAGTATCAGGAGGGGAGGACTCTGGAGAAGGACACTGTTGCAACAGAAGGGATTCATGTCAGTATCCAGGTGGGAGATGTAAGGATAATGGGAAACAAAAAGGGAATGGTGTACATGGAGAAGGAGAGGATGGGGTGTGTTGGAAAAGAGTAGGAGGAAGAGGGGTTAGGGGAACTTGAGGGGGAGGTGAATGGATATTGTCAAATACTCTGAACGTATAGGGAATAGATAGAGAGGGCTTGGAGGGTGGATGAGGGAGTGGAACATTTCCTTGGGTCTTGTCTAGGAATTTTTGGATATTTTCAAGAGTTTCTGGAGGAGTTGTCAGTGGGGAGATTTGAGGAACAAATGATCTCTTGTGAGGAAGAGAAGAGAGGATAGATGTTCGAAGAGCAGAGGAAAAGGAGGAAGGGGAAGGCAAAGATAGAGTTAAACATTTACTTTGTCTGGTGTGACAGGTAAAGTAGGGAGGAGGGGTAGGTAATGGAGAAGTGGTAGAGATTGGAATATCTGGATTTAGACATGAAAAGGAATTTAATTGGATGAGAGGGTGAGTTGAGGTAAGATGGTTCAGGGTAGAGGGATGAGATACTTGGGTAGATGCAGGAACATCTTGTGAAGATGGTATGGGAGCAGAGTGAAGGACTGTTTTGGAATAAGTAGAGAGAGAAAAATTTTGTTGTCATGCTTCCTGCCTGGCCTTATGAAGAATGAGGCCTAGTCTGAATCTAAGAACTGCTACCTCACATTCAAGCTTAGAGGCAGGGCAGCTCCTGTAAAATCCATTATGGGAGCCACCACAGTTGGCACATGTACGTAACTGATTAGAGTAATTTAAACAGTCATGACCAGGTTGGGCACATAGAGGGCAGCAGGATGTGGAGCGACAGTGTTTGACTGGGTGGCCAAAACCCCAACATTTCTAACACTGACAAGGAAGGGGTTGATATGGTTGGACATGGTATGACAATCCATCTATATACACTTCATGAGGGAGGTCATGTCTATGAAAGCTAATCTTAGCACTATTGGCATGGGACTTACGCTGACCTCTAGGAGGAACAGTGTAGCACTGTACTGACACTGCATCATAATCAGAAAGGCAGGTAAGTAGGTCATTTTTAATCTGACCAGTTCTTGTCATAGATAGGCCAAGCAGTTGGGGAGACAGAAACAGTTCCAGTACAAGTATTAAGAGAGGGGGTGAGGAATGGGTTTGTTAGTGAGGTCAATTAAGGTAGATAGTGCACGAACTTGGGATTCAGATGAAACTGTGACAAGGTGTGATCAATTGGAGTGACTGCGAAAGGAAACTTTACTGACTTATTTTTTGGAGCCTGTTGAAAGAGAAGGGCATTCTCAGAGTAGGGGGCTGGGGACTGTTGGGGGAAATCACAAAGAATTAATCCCATTTGGCTGGGCCAAAAAGAGTACTCAAAAGGTTTGCAGAGACAGAGGCAGTAGAAGGACAAGGGTGGGAGGAAGATGGAGTGATGTGAAGTGGAGTAGTTCTGCAGGGGGTAGGACAATAAGGAAGAGTAGTAATATGGGAAGAGAGGGTAGACATGTGCTGTAGGAGATGGAAAGGAGAATGTAGGGAAAGAAGAAGAGGTGCATTCTGATGGTTGATTAATAACCTGGGTGGGTGGTTTGGAATGGATAGAGTTGTCAGTAAACGTCCAAGACGGGGTACTAGTATCAGTAATTGGAACTGTGATCAAAGGAGAGGCAGGGGATGGAAAACCAACAAAATCATATTCACATAGGCTAGTTGATGAAGGGGCAAGCCTTAATGCCCCATCATAGGTAAAGAATCATCATTATTAGCCATGGTGAGCCTGAATAAAAGAAACGGTCTGCCCCTTTCGGTCCCTATAAGGGGTAAGGGCTAGGCAATTAGCCAAGGGAAAGCCTGTCTCCTTTCAAACTTTCAGCACAGCTCTCACACCTTAGGAATAGGACAGATGAGGATGGAGAAGATACAGAAGAGAAATGGGAGATAAGAAAAGACCATACAAGGTAAGGGCAATCCCATACATTGGGCCTCAGTCTCTGTCTCCTAAGCTCCCTCATGACAACAACGAGCAACAGGTTTGGGGGGCATGAGGTAATAAAATTACTGTCAAACATAAGGAAAATTATGATGCAACAACTCAAAAAAGTTATTGCAATTCCTGCTAAAGTTGAGGATTTTAAAATTTTGAGAGGACGGGGCTAGTGGAGTGAGTCCGTAATGATGGTAATCATAGTAGTGGTAGTATTATTAGTCATAGTATTAAACTAATGGAGATACTGTTATCATAAGATACTGTTATCTTATAGTTGCTCTGTTATTGTGATCATTATTATCCTGATTATCATTATCCCTTTATTATTATCATAATTGTCATTATCATCAACATTATTACTATCATAATTATTATCATTACCATTATCATCATCGTTACTACTATCATTATCACTGGTTGTAGGGCATATGTAGTCTTTGTCAGTATCACAGTTAACAATAAAATCATATATGATGGTATTTCTGAATCTCAACTGAAAATGAATGTCATTAAGTTGGGTACAATGACCTAGTGGGTAAGATGAACAGAAATTCTAAAAATATTGACATATAAATATACATATTTTTCATTGGATTTATTTGTCTTGGGTCACAGGTGTAACATGTACATCACACTTACATTAGATCCTTTGGTAAAAAAAAAATGTGGACACAAAAGTAAGCTTTTAATGTTATCCACCTTTATAAATGATGACAGGCCTTTTCTGTAATTTAGTAGATGATATGAAGCAAAAAATGAGATATGATGCCTTATATTTGTAGAAATAAAGTCATCCTCATGAACTTGTTATCTTCCTTTTTCATGTACATACAAGAAATGTTATAAAATGCAAAAAAAAACCCTGTCATGCACAACTTCAACTGTGAAGCTGAAAACCATCCTAATTCATCATAAAATTCTGGATAGAAAACAGTTATTCATAATAATGAGAAATTAGCAATAAGTTGTTGAAATAAAGTTTTGAATTTAAAAAATAAATGTCATATGGCATAGAAAAACCTTTTTTCTGTTCATGTAAAAATAAAACATATTTGCACGGAATGGCATTAATACTTTACATATAGCAGGATATTCTACAAAGGAAAAAAAGGTTTGTTTTTAGCCACTGTGCTTCTCTGCAAACCTCTTGATACAAAGATATTGCTTCTCTTCAAACATATTCCAACTGTTTACTCATCTATCTTTATTTTTGAATACCTTTCATTCCTTGGGTAAAGAGAGGTTATTTCTTTTTTTTTTCCCAACAACTATGGTATTTTTTTCTTCCATTTTTCTTAGGTTCACCTTTCTGTATAAGTCTTAATGCCTTAAGGTTCATTTGCAGAGTGGAAAAAAATTTATATTAATTTCAAGAGTATTCTATTTTTCAAATTTATACATATCAACCTAGTTTGCCAATAATTTTGTGAAACATCATATGAAGAGACCTCAATTCACTCTCTCTCTCTCTCAGACACCAGCTCACTCACTCTCTCCCTCACCTATCAACTCAATTCCTCTCATTCACCCATCAGCACTCACTCACTCTCCCTCACCCACGAACTCCTCAATCACTCTCCCTCATCCACGAACTCCTTATAAAGGGTGCAATACATGCAATACCTACTTACCACGTGTGGTCCTCCACACGTGTTGTGGGGCCTGCCCACACTATCACCCAAACCACGCTCTCCTAAATATAGAGGCCACGGTATAAAGGGTGCAATACATGCAATCCCTACTTCCTAGTTGTGGTCCTCCACACGTGGTGTGGGGCCTGCCCACGCTATCGCCCAAACCACGCTCTCCTAAATATAGAGGCCACGCCGTCCACCAAGGGGTATATAAGGTCATCCAAGCTGACCTTCCCTCTCACTCACTCGCTCACTCACTCAGCTCACACCTTCAACGGTCCCGCCCCTTGGCTACTGACTTGACCTCCCGTACCGCCAGTTATCCTATTTCTTGTGTTGCTATAAACAATGCTTGTAACTCTTAGCAATAAAGAGAACAGCCACACCGGGTATCACTGACACCACCTTGTACTTCAAAGAACACTATAAACAAGAGCTCTTAGAACCTCTTACACTCCTAACTCACTCTCCCTCACCCACCAACTCCTTCACTCACTCTCCCTCACCCACCAACTCCTCACTCACTTTCCCTCACCCACAAACACCTCACTCACTCTCTCTCTCCCACCAATTCCTCACTCACTCTATCTCACCCACTAACTCCTCACTCAATCTCCCTCACCCACTAACTCATCACTCACTCTTTCTCTCCCACCAATTCTTCACTCACTCTCCTACCCACTAACTCCTCACTCACTCTCCCTCTCCCACCAACTCCTCACTTTCTCTCTCCCACCAACTCTTCACTCACTCTCCCTCACCCACTAACTCCTCACTCACTCTCCTCACCCACTAACTCCTACTCATCTCCCTCTCACCACCAACTCCTCACTCACTCTCCCTCACCCACCAACTCTCACTTTCTCTCTCCCACCAACTCTTCACTCACTCTCCCTCACCCACTAACTCCTCACTCACTCTCCCTCTCCCACCAACTCCTCACTCACTCTCCTCACCCACCAACTCCTACTCACTCTCTCACCACCAACTCTCACTCACTCTCCCTCTCCACCAACTCCTCAACTCACTCTCCCTCTCACCAACTCCTCACTCACTCCCTCTCCCACCAACTCCTCACTCACTCTCCCTCACCCACTAACTCTCACTCCTCTCCCTCTCCTCCCTCCCCAACTCCTACTCACTCTCCCTCACCACCAACTCCTCACTCACTCTCCCTCACCCACTAACTCCTCACTCACTCTCCTCTCCACAACTCCTACTCACTCTCCCTCTCCCACCAACTCCTCACTCACTCTCCTCTCCCACCAACTCCTACTCACTCTCCCTCTCCACCAACTCCTCACACTCTCCCTCCCACCAACTCCTCACTCACTCTCCCTCACCCACTAACTCCTCACTCACTCTCCCTCACCCACCAACTCCTCACTCACTCTCCCTCACCCACCAACTCCTCACTCACTCTCCCTCTCCCCACCAACTCCTTCACTCTCTCTCCCACCAATCTCACCACTACTCCCATACTCTCCTCTCACACCAATCCTCACTCACTCTCCATCTCCACTAACTCCTCACTTCTCTCTCCCACCAACTCTCACTCACTCTCCCTCTCCCACCAACTCCTCACTCACTCTCCCTCACCCACTAACTCCTCACTCACTCTCCCTCTCCCACCAACTCCTCACTCACTCTCCCTCACCCACCAACTCTTCACTCACTCTCCCTCACCCACCAACTCCTCACTCACCCTCCCTCACCCACCAATCCTCACTCACTCTATCTCACCCACTAACTCCTCACTCAATCTCCCTCCACCACTAACTCTCACTCACTCTTTCTCTCCCACCAACTCTTCACTCACTCTCCCTCACCACTAACTCCTCACTCACTCTCCCTCTCCCACCAACTCCTCACTTTCTCTCTCCCACCAACTCTTCACCCACTAACTCCTCACTCACTCTCCCTCTCACACCAATTCCTCACTCACTCTATCTCACCCACTAACTCCTCACTCACTCTCCCTCTCCCACCAACTCCTCACTCACTCTCCCTCTCCCACCAACTCCTCACTCACTCTCCTCTTCCACCAACTCCTCACTCACTCTCCCTCTCCCACCAACTCCTCACTCACTCACCCACTCTCCATTAATCACCAACTCACTCACCTTAATCTTAATCTCCTAAAAACGAAAATAGGATGTGAAGATTTACATTCAAACCTATGCTACGCAGAGAGCGCCGATGAAACCCGTTCCAATCACGTTTCTATCTGTCTAAAACCACGTTATTCTTGTTATTCCTTTATCATAATGATATGAGAGACATGCAATCAAAGGGCAAACCTCCTATCTAAATCTTTCATTTTATTCTATACAATAACAGTGGTTTTAAGTGATTATTATAAAGGGGGTGTCCGCTAGCTGGAGGCAAATATACGTTTGTTACGTTGCTGCTTATTGGCTAATGCAACTTCCGGGGCGGTTACGATTTGCAGTTCATCTTATTTTTAGTACATGTGTAGTAAATGCAATCTCATCATCACATAGAATAATTCCGAGGATAGAGTAATAGGTAACAGCTTGACAATATTACTATCATACTGAAAATTTTAGTCAAATGCAAAATATAGCAAATGTAAGCTCTTCGGTGTTCTCATGTAACAATTTTCATTTTATTGCACTACAATCCTTCAAACTTAAGCCTTCAATTTCCACCGACAAGAGCACTTTCCTATGACTCCGACCCTATGTATGGGGGCGGAGTCATAAATAAACAATTGTAGAGTACCTGCCACTACCTGGCTGACTCTCGCGCGGACTCGTGTGGCGGAGATGCCCCGCCGGCCAAGGACACTCGCACCGATAACCAAAGATGGCGCTGGCTCTACACTAGCCTTTTATTCCTTTCAACAAACCACTACAAATATTTCCCAACGATTTACCCTGCATGCTGGTTCAAGCTCCTTTCTCTTCTCCTAAAATAAATTTTCCTCCATTCCTTATCCACCCTCTATCCCCCATTCTTCCTTCCCACTCTTCTTTCCACATTTTGCTTTGATTTCCCTGGCTGATAAGCGTGGGGGCACCTCTGCCAGTTTTGAACCCTTTCATTTGCTCTACGCCCAACCTCTTACTTTCACATCGATATATATAATATATATATTATATATATTATATATATGTATATATATATGTATATATATTTATATATTTATATATATTGTGTGTGTTGTGTTCACATACATTATAATTTATATATATATATATATATATATATATATATATATATTATACATATACATACATATATATATATATACATATATATTTATAATATATATATATAATATATATATATATATATATATAATATATTATACATATATATATATATATATATATATATTATATATATATATATATATATATATGTGTGTGTGTGTGTGTTGTGTGTGGTTGTGTGTGTTGTGTGTATACATATACATTTGTATATGTATGTATTATATATAATATAATATAAAATATATACATATATGTGTGTATGTTTGTATGTGTGTGTGTGGTGTGTGTTTGCATGTATGTACATACAGGCAGCGACAAGACAAGGAAAAATATATGGATCCCTATGAATCTCATGTTACTTTGTCCCTCTTCGTTTTTCGTCTTCAGTTTTCCCACAAGTATTGAAAATGTTCGCATTTACTTCCGCAATTGTCGAACGAACCCAAATCATCACCCTGCGGAAAGGCAATGTGATGACTCGGGAAGGACGATCAAAGAGAACCAAGAAGATCTGCCATCCACTGCCCAAAGCTCGTCCAGAGAAGCCATTACCAGCCAATAAATACTTCATATAAGAGTAATGCGTTTATCAAGCGTGCAGTCAGGCAAACCCATTTACCACAGGCACTGAAATAGAAAACAATGTATCCAGATCTCATGAAAAACCTTTCGACTTTTATATATTCAATAAGACCAATGCTTCCTAAGGAAAGGAAGGCAAAGAGGATGGCTTTTGTCCAGCAGTGCGAGTACTGGACCCTTCAGCAGTGGAAAAGGGTCGGTTTCTGACGAGAGCACCTTCGGCTTCAGTCATTGTGTCAAGGCGATCGAAACTCTAATGGTTTGGGACATTTTCAGCGGCGAAAGAGATGCAGGTGAACTGTATTTCTTATAGAACACAACCATGCAGTCAGAAAACTTGAAGCATTTCATGTAGCACTTCCTTCACCTTCATTAGCCTGGTGATGATTAAATGCACGACGAAGCCCAATGTCGTGGCGCAGAACCCCTCAAAGACTTTCTTTAGAAAAACAGAATTTCCGTTGTGAAGCGGCCAGGAAACTCGCCGGACCTGAATCCGATAGAGAACAGGCGGGCGCATAATAAGGGACAGATTGACGTCATTCCGACCGCAACTCGCACGGGCCTGGAGAGACATGGACCAAAACCTGGACCTAAGCCTGCCTCAGCGCCTTCAGGATGTCATAGGTATCAGGAGGGGGGGGTTATTAACTACTAAAGGAAGCATATGAATGTACCGTTTTTTGTTTGTTTATTTAATGGTAATTACAAATCATGCGAGCTTTTTTTTTTTTTTTTTTTACAAAGATTAGGCAAGGTGCCACCTTTATCCCCCGATATTATGTATATATATATGTGTGTGTGAGCATATCTATTTTTACACACACACACACACACACACACCACACACACACACACACACACACACACACACACACACACACACACACACACACACACACACCACACACACACACACACACACACACATATATATATATACATATATATATATATATATATATATATATATATATTATTATATATTATATATATATATTATATATAAGAGCACACACACACACGAAGGGTGTTCATCAAAGATTCCCGCTGACCCACTGCCGTTTGTCCATGAGCCAAGGAAACCAGGAGGACGTTTTTGAGCTAATGAGGCAGGACGAAACTTAGTCCATCACTCTGATCTAGAAACAAAGGCCAAGTCAAAACAATGGAAGCTCCTTGACTCACGAAAGGTACACTCACAGGAAAGTACTTTTCACTGCTGCAGAATTTGTGGGAGGCAATCAAAACGGAGAGGAATATTGACCAAAGGTGTGTACCTCCTACAAGAGAACTCCCGTTCACAACTCCTACTTTGCCCAGGTGGCAGTGCAGTCCTGTGGCTGCGACATCCTTCCCTATCTTCCTTATTCGTCTGACCTT